ATGACCTCTAGAATCTTAGCTGAACTCAGTTAACTATCCTACAGTGTGAAAATAGATAGGATAGGGGCCGTTCCACTTTGCCTTTGGCTGTTGTTATAACTCTCTTGGAGCAAGATGTTCTGCACACATTTCTGAAATGATTCTTTCGTTGATGTAAACACAGGGACACTCAGATGGAGGACATTTTGGTTCTTCTATTTTCTATCGCTTTTGGACTCCCCATAGGGAAGCTCAGACAATGGGGGATGATGGCATGAGTTTAAACTCGAATTAAACAGTAACCTCCTGAGAAATCCTCTTCAGGCTAGTGGGGTGTGGGTGTGGGGGTGTGGCTCATGGCTCATGCCTGTAATCCTAGCACTTTGGGAGGCTGAGGCAGGCAGATCACTTGAGGTCAAGAGCTCGAGACCAACCTGGCCAACATGGTGAAACTCCATCTCTACTAACAATAGAAAAATTAGCCAGCTGTGGTAGCGCATGCCTGTAATCCCAGCTACTTGGGATTAGTCAGGAGAATCTCTTGAGCCCAAGAGGCGGAGGTTGCAGTGAGCTGAGATCATGCCACTGCACTCCAGCCTGGGAGGCAAGAGCGAAACGCCATCTTGAAAAAAGAAAAAAAAGAGAGAGACAGAAGTCCTATTCCGTAAAATCAGTGCAGCTACCAGAACCACGAGTGTCAGATGCGCACATTCAGTGGGAGGCAGTCTTGCACTCAGAAGGCACTAACTGTGGGGCTGCAGAGCACGCTTAATACAATGGCCTCGGCTTCTTGGAGTGGAAGTAACTGAATGCCTTCTTACTTGTTTCAGCTTTAGCAGCTTAAACTTTTTCTTAGTGGGTGGTTGACAGAGTAGTTGCTTTGGCTCTGATAGTTTTCCTTCTGTCTTTGTACTTGGCTGTGGGAGCAGGTAAGTGGCAGAGAAGCATTGCTCAGAGTGGACCAGCGCTGCAGACACGTATCCACTGATTAACCAAAAAAAAAGAGCCTGTTGGTGACACGCACATGACCGACTCCATGCCTGGATCCTGGGCACCTCCTGTGGGAAATCAAGTGCTTTCAGTTTGCTCACTAGTGGATTTTGGATGTTTATTCTTATATGGACACTACATCTTTACAAACTATTTTTTAAGGAAAGTCCTTACATCACATTACCAGTAGGTATGCATATGTAATTTTGTGCATTGAAATGAGAATGTCTCAGACACTGCTAACCTTTACTACATGAAATGACTCTGATATAGGAGTTTCATTTTTATTCCTTCTATTTCATTAAAAAATATAGTCAGTACCTGTAAAATTGACTTTACAATGCACTATTCGGTCACAGTTTGCAGTTTGAAAAAGCAGTTTGCCTGGACAGTCTAGTGAGATTCAGTTTCCAAACTCATCCCCAGATCTCCTCCTGTTTCCTCAGATGCACCTCTTCTGACTCCTTTAGGAGTTTCCTACCCCTTGGTGTTGGTGCTTTCCTGGGGCAGCCTTCTGTTCTTCCCCTGATTGAATTTCCTCACAGAGATCACCTGCTTTCCTGGCTATGACGATCATTGCCGCTGTAGTGATTCCTAAAGGTATATTCCCAACTCTAGTTGCACCCCTGAATTCTATATGAAGTGATTCCTAAATGTATGTTCCCAACTCTGGTTGCACCCCTGAATTCTATATGAAGGGATTCATAAATGTATATTCCCAACTCTAGTTACACCCCTGAATTCTATATGAAGTAACTCATAAATGTATGTTCCCAACTCTAGTTGTATGTTCTCGGCTATAGATGCACCCCTGAATTCTATGTGAAGTGATTAATAAATGTATGTTCCCAACTCTAATTGCACCCCTGAATTCTGTATGAAGTGATTCATAAATGTATATTCCCAACTCTAGTTACACCCTGAATTCTATACGAAGTGATTCATAAATGTATGTTCCCAACTCTAGTTGTACCCCTGAATTCTATATGAAGTGATTCATAAATGTGTATTCCCAACTCTGGTTGCACCCCTGAATTCTATATAAAGGGATTCCTAAATGTATGTTCCCAACTCTGGTTGCACCCCTGAATTCTATATAAAGGGATTCATAAATGTATGATCCCAACTCTAGTTACACCCCTGAATTCTATGTGAAGTGATTCATAAATGTATGTTCCCAACTCTAGTTGCACCCCTGAATTCTATATGAAGTGATTCATAAATGTATGTTCCCAACTCTAGTTGCACCCCTGAATTTTATATGAAGTGATTCATAAATGTATATTCCCAACTCTAGTTACACCCCTGAATTCTATATGAAGTGACTCATAAATGTATGTTCCCAACTCTAGTTGTATGTTCCCAGCTATAGTTGCATCCCTGAATTCTATGTGATGCTCCCAGCAGCATTTCTAACAGTTTCATGTAGGCTTCTGCTGTCCCCTTCATCTTGAACTCAGCATCAAAACCAAAATCATTATGTGGCCTAAACACTGCAACTTCTCTCCTTATTCTATTAATGGCTCTCTTATTCCCCCATCATCCTAGCCTAAATATTTCAGGCCGTCACTGACTCTTCATTTTCATTCCCCCTCCACAGCTCACCTTTCCTCAGCTCTTGTTAATTTTTTGCTCACAACTTCTCTCTCAGTTTTCCATTTTGACACCACATCACCTTGATTAAAAAACCCAAATGGCTTCTCATTACCTACAGAATTGAATGTGAAGTCTCTAGAATATTAGAATTTGGCCTCAAATCTTACCTCCATCATTGCCCTAAATGTGCCCTTTGCTGCGCTAAACATTTGATCTCCCACTTACGCCCTAGGAAGAAATAAATCTCTTCTGGTTTTTCAGGAATAAGCCTCAATTTTTTTGACGAATGTGACACTTACCATGCATTTCCTGCTATATAATGTCACTGTCTGGATTCATATTTATTTAGATTAGCATGTTATTTGGTACTTTCTAGAGAGTTGTGATCTGAGAGTCACCTTGAATTACCCTCTCAACATCGAAAGAGTAAGGCATACTGATACTGTCTCTTAAACCAATTATCCTAAAATTTGTGCATGCATCCGAATTACCTGTTAGAATAAAGATTCTGATTCAGTAGGTCAGGGATGTGGTTTGAGATTCTGCCTTTCTATTTGGCTTTCAGAAAATGTGAGGCTGGTGATCAGAGACTCAAACTTTGAGTAGCAAGATGGAAATGTGCCTTTAACTCATTCCTTTTCCCTCATGCCACTTTTTGGGTTTGAGACCCTATTATGGCTTATTCTCCTAATTGGTCTGTTTGCCACCTGTCGCTCCCCACCACTCGTCTGTCTCATAAAACTGTTATCTAAGGGATCATTACCTCGCCTGTGAATTCCTCAAAACAAAAGTGCAATGGAAATAAGTGCGGTCGCTGTCCTTAGAGTCCTGGCCTGTGCGCTACGATTGGGTTGGGCGCCTTGCTTGGAACATCCTCACTCTTTGCCCGTTTCCATGGCTTCCTTCTTGTCTACTAATTCATTTCGAGGAAATTAATCTGGCTGCTCTCCTCCTCCCAAAACACCGATTTTCTTTTTGCCGCATGTACCGCGGCGCCTAGATTTTTCACACTGCCTTGAATTTTCAGAAACGCCTTCCATGTGTTCCTTCTTAAATCCACCCTTGCCAAAACTCTGTGGGATTATAGAACAGTGGGATTGAAGAAGCTGAAAGCTGATGGGAGGAAAACCTTCTGAAGGATAAAGGAAGCAGTCCATCCAGGAAAGCTAGCCTTGCCCTCTTTATAACTGCCCTATGGTCATTTTGGTCTCCCTGAGCTATGGTGTCATCCCAGCTGTGGGTTTGCATAGGGGCCTGTGAATTTCAGGCTTTTGCTCTTACAGAGCCACTTTGTAGGTTATGGGGAGCAATGCTGTCAAAAGGACTGCTTTTCTGTTGTATTTGATATTTATTATTTTAATTTTTTTTACTGCTGGCTCTGTTGTTCAGTACTAGCTAATATATTGCAAAATGAACTTTCATTGACCAGGTAGAGGCCAGGGTAGGGCCAGTGAGAGAGAGATCCTGGGGAACAACAGAGAGGGAGGAAGCAGAGGTGTGCAGTGAGATTCTTCAGTTTGGGGTCCCAGCTCTGCTGACATGTCTATGTAGTCTGGGAAGTGCGATCCAACCTCATTGGATGGTTCCTCCAATCCTGAGAGAGGTGGTGGAAACAGATGACTGCTTAGCAGGCCTTAAGGATAAGTTACTAGGGCCATATAGAATCTTTTTTTTTTTAAAAAAAAGCAAATACAACTCTCCTCCCTAGAATTATATCACACTGCCCTCAAAGCCAGTGAAGTTTTCCTGTGCCCTGAAGGTAGGTTTTTGTGTGACCTCAGAAGCAGGAAACAGACTGAAAGATCACTAAGTTGTGGGTCAAAAAGTATTTTTGGTTCTCATATGCACCCTTTTGTTGCAAAGACTGTGAAATTCCTCCATGGAGGAAAGCGATGAATTTGGAAGAAAAATCCCGACATAACTATTTTCCACCCTAAGGAAACAGCCTCTCTTTCCAACGTGTGAATGCATTTTCCGCTGCATCCCCAGGAGTATGAGTGTTTCAAGAAGTTTGCGCCGTGCTACTCTATTCTCTAAGCCCCCAAGCCCCACTCCCTCCCAGACCGTTCTCTAGAGTCCCCGCATGTTTCCAGAAACAAATCAAGAGACTGATAAGAGCTCTGCCCGGTATGAATAATAGAAAAATGAGCCACTCTGTGCAAGGAAGTTGGTGGAAGGTGGGAGGCAAGCAGGGAGAGAAAGAGATTTTCAGCAGCAGAGGGGACCTCAGAGACGCATCTGCAAGACGGACACTTTGCTCAGTGCCATTTCTGCATTTATGCCTCTTTAATGGTCAGCGGGGCAATCAGTAGATTGCCTGCTACCTGGTTAGTCATGGGTCTGTTGGGTGGCAACGGGCGTTCTGGCTGTGGGATCCAAGGGATGACAAAAAGACGACTGAACATTGACTGTTACTTTTCTCTCTCTTTCCCCAGGGCGGCCACTGAAGTTTTGGCAGCTTTGCTGAAATCCAGTAAGCACCTCTTTTTGAAGGGTGGTTATTTCTTTCCCCTCTGAGTTCAGTGAAAAATGCTCTCCTGTCCCATGGCTTTTTCTTTTTTCTTTTTTTCTTTCTTTCTTTTCTTTTTCCATGAACTACTATTTCTCAAGCACCCATGGCTCATTTCTGATCTGGAAAGAAAGCAAGCCATGTTCCGGAACTTTGGGGTAAGACAGAGAATGTGGTAGCTGTTCCAAGTACATGACCACAAAGAGGAAATAAATATTATCCATACATGATGCCACTAAGACAATGGACCCTAAAGGGGTATTATTTACTGTGGCCCTGGTGGACTCTCCACCCCTGTCTAACAGAGCCAGCAGTCCCTAAAGATTGTTGGAATAAACTGTAGGTTGCAGTGGAAGAAAACATTTTGGCTGGCTGGAGAGAAGTATTCCTGCATTTGGTTCTCAACTCAACTCAGCTCATAAGTCTAAATTTTTGGGCAGGTAGAATGTTGGGAATTGTTTGGACAATGTTGATCCTGATAACAAATTTATGTTTAAAAGTTGACTCTTTTCTCAGTGACTTGAGAGACTGCAAAAGAATAGCTCTGGAGTTCTGAATAATTTGAGAGTTTTTTTTTTTTTTTTTTTGCCTGGTAGCCCTGGCCTTATTATGTTGGGAGTCAATTTCATGTGTGCAATATAATAGCAGGCACAATGCACTTGGGAGGGAAGAAGTCTTAGCTTAACATTACTCATTTTTTCCTTCTTACTTCTTCATCTATTTTAATTTGGCACCTTGGAAACCAGCTGATTGAATTGTGATGTTTGTTTCTCTATAGGGAGCCTGAGGCCTGTGGGTAAGAGGTGAACTTTAATAAAAACGTTTAAATAAATAAATAAAAACAAAAACACATTCTCCCCCCATCCATACATCTCTGTCAACTGTAAGCACAGAGAAAGAGCCAAATCACATGCTGCTTCCCTTTATAGACTTAGAGAAATTGAAGCTTGAATTCATTTGGTTTATTCAAACTTGGTATGAGACACAGGTCTATCCACAGCTTTCAGACCTTCAGGTAGAGTGGAGCTGGTAAGAGCAGGGTGTGGGAGTGAAGAGGAGGTTACGAAGCCCTGGAGATAGGAAAGGATGGAGAAGTGTTACCTGTGGGTTCTGGGGAGAGAACCATTCATTCTTCAGACTGAACTTGCTTCGGGGTTTGGCATCTTGGTTCTCATTATTTATCTGCTTCCTCAGCTGCTCCCAAATGCCTTTTGTTTGATGCAGCAAAGGTTGGGAGTGTCGAATTGCAGGAGGAAAGGATGCTGAAAGCAGCCTGGGAGGCCAGTCTGTGAATGTCATGCCTTGGGAAAGAAGCTATCTCTCAAATCGCCCCAGCCCAGCCTTGGCCTGGAGGACTTGATGTTTCATGGGAAGGGAGCCCAGAGAGCTGAGTAAGGCTGGCTTACTTTCTGCACATACACCTTCCTTAGCTCTTGAGCTTAAAGTTGAGCATCCTGAGATAAAATGTACCTACCTAGATGTATAAAAATCTGAAAGTAGTCTTATGTCAGTTGTTAACTGTATTGATCAGAAATGTAATGCCTCAGCCCAGGAAAAACCAATAGCCAATGCAAATATGGCTTGATTCAGGCTTAGACCGTGTAGCTAAGCTTTTAACACACTGGCCACGCCTAGCAGGCTGAGTGTGTGGTGCTGGGGGCTCAACTTTTAGAATTTCTAACTTCTTCTTTCCCTTCAGAGCTTAGCTCAGATATTGCCCTCTGAAAATCCTTTCCCTGGCTACAACCTGGATGCCCCTCATCAATGCTCTTATAGGCTTTCCTATCTCAGACTTGATGACATTGTGATGAAATTGCTATTGTCCGTCCCGTTCAGCAGACTGCAAGCTTTTGAGGGAAAGCGTCATCTGTACTGGTCATTGTATTACTTACCTCAGCACAATGAAGAGCCTGATACAAATATTTGTTGACTAAATTTTATTTATTTTTCTTTTGTTAAAATTTAAGTTCTGGGATACTACATTTTTAAATGAATACATGATATGTGATTTTTTCCATGTGTAAAAATGGCAATACTGCCCCCCCGCTACCTGAATCTAACATCTATGCGTAGAACCAATGATCTTAAGATTTGTTGTTCTCATCTCTATTTACCTGTTCTAATAGATTGGTGGAGAACCGTAGTAGCTTGCTGTCCTCTACATCCAACACGGGTTTTAGTGTCCCATGAGGAGGTTGGATAGCCTATTTGCTAATTCTGCTGAGCTGTCTGTACATCTCTTTTGTTACTTATAGCACAAGAGAGTTGGATGAGAGATTCTTCAGCATTCTTTCTAACACTATACCTGGGCTTAATGTGTATCAGGTTTTCTCAATGTTGGCGTCATTGGCATTTTGGACAGGATAATTATTTATTAGAGTCTGTTCTGTGCATTGCAGGATATACAGCCACATCCCTGGCATCTACCCACCAGATGCCAGTGTCATGCCTCAGTTGTAACAAACAAAATTACCCAGATTCCGCCGAATGTTCCCCCAGGAGGTGGGCAGTAAAATTGCCCCCTGTTGAGAATCATGGATGTGTTTTTGGGCACACACGTGAGCTGAAGCTCATTCAAAGTTTCAGAAGACCTCTCCCCAAATACCTTTATTGATAGTTCCAAGAAATATCCTTCTTGCATAATTGATGTTAAATTCCTCAATGTCAGCATCCTTCACATGGGGTCATAAGAGGTAAGAACACTGAAGGTAGAATGTCATTGTGAGCATTTACACAGTACTTGGGAGGGAAACCGATTCTAGAAGATCTCAAGCGTCTTAGAATGAGGAGGGCAAATAGATTTCATAAGGAGTAGAAAATCCAGTGTGTGGGTAGAAGAATTCTGGGGTCATGTTTAAGCTCAGCAGGAAAGAGGACTACATTTAAATAGAAAAGTCTGTCATGGATTTGGGGAAGAGTAAAACAGCATGCCAGGCAGTCACCATCTTTGTTTTACTGGCCTGTTGAAAGTATTGCATGGCATGGAGGGTCTGGTTATAGATGGTACCACCATTCTGATGAGGCAGGGGTTGCTGCAGGGCATGCGAGTGTTGTGGAATTTTCTGTTTGCTTTACGTTGCCTATATGTCACGCATAGTTAAGACCTGATGTGAAATGTCTTTGACTTGGATCCCAGAGTTTCCATCAGCTGAACTTAAATGCAGGAAGTCAGTTTCTGTCTAAAATGTAAGACTTCATCATCTGGCACTGATACCTGGCAACGTTTATGTAAACCTTTAGCTCCTAAATGCACACTCCTTTTAGCTGGTGATTATTCTGACTTTGATCTTTGCTTGTTGGTGAGTATAAAGGTTGGCCATTACAAAAGGGAGAGAATTCCCTGATCTAAATAAAGCTGGAAGTAAAGATCCACCACTTTACTTGAAGGAGGGCAGTCAGTGCTCCTGTGACAGTAAACACTAAGGTGGGTTGGAAATCTGAGGTCACTGATGCCTTATTAAGTAGTGACAGGCAGAGGCCATCCCCAGGAAAAGCAGAACTGAGGGATCAGGGAGATTTGGAGCCCACCCACAGTAACCACAGAAAGCAAGGGAAAGATCACCTGTGTTGCATTTGGTAGATCTCATTATTCAGCTCTCTCTTTTATCAAGTAGCCACTGCATGAAAAGCCAGTGTAGAATATGAGGATGATGGGAAAAGAGAAATGAACCAAGACACGTTTCCCATCTCTTTCTCTTTCTGAGCAAAGCAGGCAAAATAAACTTGGAAGTGCCAGGCCTTTTCTCCAGTTAGTAATTTTGGATCCTGCAAATGAAAAATCATTGCTCACTCAAGGTTCCTTTCTGTGTCTTCGTAGGCTGGAATGGTCTAATCCAAATCGCATGCCTTTCCTTGTATCCGTTCCCCTCTTCTCCACTAATACATGCACAAATCCCACCCTAACTTGTCCTGTATGGAAAGCTTTGCCTTTTAGTGCTTTATCCTATCCAAACACATTTAGCTTTTTATTCCTGAAATGTAATAAAGCTTTAGTTAGGAAATAGTGTTACTTATTATTTCAGGCAATTTTTAAAATATAATAAATCAAAACAATGTGTCCTTTGCTTTCCCCTCTGTATTAGTCTGTTCTCATGCTGCTATGAAAAACTTCCCAAGGCTGGGTAATTTACAAAGGAAAGAGATTTAATTGACTCAGTTTTGCAGGGCTGAGGAGGCCTCAGGAAACTTACAATCATGGCAGAAGGGGAAGCAGACATGTCCTTCTTCACATGGCAGTAGCAAGAAGTGTCGAACAAATTTAGAAAAAGCCCCTTAGAAAACGATCACATCTCACGAAGAGCTCATTCACTATCATGAGAACAGCATGGAGGTAACTGCCACCATGATTCAATTGGTTCCCACCGGGTCCCTGCAAATCAAGATGAGATTTGGGTGGGAACGTATCATCCTCTCGCTGTCTGACTTCACTCTGCCTTTATCTCCTCTCTTCCTCTACGTCTGCCTTCATCTCTGTCTTTTCTTCATCCTTTTCTCTATGCCTCATTTTCCTGTCCACCTCTTCCTCTTTCTTTTTGTTTCCTCAATTACCTTCCATCAGCATTAGGCATGAATGCATTTTTGAAAGATTGTAAGCATGCAGCGCTTGAGTAAGCATGCAGCCATAGGATTATGCCTGATTTGTACAGGCTCCAGAAATGAATCTTCAAATAATGTCTTAGTATTAACCTTGCTGTCCAGATTTAAAAGTCATATGCTTGCAGTGAGAAAACACCTTCTGGTTCTCAAACTTAGTCAGGGAATGATGAGTCTCTGTCAGACCACTCTGAAATTTAAGAATTAGCATTTAGAGGAGTCTGGAAGTTTGCAGAAGTTGGGGCATGGGAACAGGAAAGCAAGTTAACAAAGGAAGAGAGACCGAAAAGAAAAGGGGGAAGGGAGAGATGTAAGAGAGCTAATGGGAATTTTGGCAGGAAGTCGAGACTTCTCACGGATCTTCCTAGATA